GATTCTATTTTATGATTCTATGATATTTCCTGAGGTCCACTGGGAATCTCCTCCACACAGAGCTGTGCCAGTGCCCAGTAATGGTATTATTTGTCTCTCACGCCACACAAGCTGTGTTTAAAAGGTCAGCAGAAAGTGAAAATACCTGTATGTGACCTCTCAAGTGCTGCTGGTTATTATAATTCTCAGGTATTGCCCAGATCTTCCCCAGTGCCAACCTCTCCACAGAGGTTCCATCAGTCAAAGGTGGGACCCAATGATCTTAGAGGACTTTTCCAACCTTAATGATTCTGTGAAGCAGTTTGAGAGGTAAAAAACTTGCTGGGATGGTGCTCACAGCTCAGAGCTGAGCAGAGCTTCACAGTTTGGGACTTCCTGAATATTCCAGTTTTCTTTACTTGTTACAAGGTGCTGCAAAGTTAAGAATTGGAAACCAGCCCAAAACACAACCAGCTTTTCATGTGGAAGGCTCCAGGATCAAACATCTGTAAATCTCCAGTGCCTTCCCCTGTTTGGGCTCTCTCCACCCAGCTCACCACGGCACCGGGAAACTTGGAAAAGCCGTCGCAGAGAATCCTAATTCCAAGTTTTTCCTGTGCTCTGATTAAGCTGTGGAAAAGAAACAGGCGAATGTAAAGAGAGCCACCCACTGCAAGCACATTAATTATAGGTACTGAAAATCAGCCAGTAATGAAGGTGAGACAGAAATCCAAGGCTTTAACAGCTCAACAATGCTCCTTCTTCTCCCGTTTACCCACAGCTGCAGGTGTGCACAGCACGGGCTTTGTCTTTGCCAGGCTAATTTGAGCACCCTAAGCCCGTGACATTGCCAGAAGTGCTCCTTTATCCAGGAATATTATCCTGTCATACCTGTCCCATGCAGCACATTTTGTTTCACGCACGAATAAACAGATGAAAACCTGTTTGTGTGTGCCCTCCTTCAAGGACCATTATGTTTTTCTGGATTATAGTTGTGGCACAAAAGCAAAAAAAAAAAAACAAACAACAAATAAATACATAACTTAGGTAATTGAAACCATTTTCCTGATGTTGTGGTGGCATTTCCTTGTGGATAATAATAATTAAAAAAAAAATAATAAAAAAAAGATGTGTTGAGGAGTCTACCTACAGAAAAGACATCTTATTCCTGGTGTTAACCAGTCCCAGCAGTCAAGGAGCTGCCCATACACAGCTGAATGCTGCAGGGCCAACTAAAGACAAACATTTGGACTGCTTTCCTCTTCTTTTCATCAATAATCATTCAATTTTACTGTTATTTCATTAAATTGGACACACAAAGTAGAACTTTCAGTTTAAGTGCCAGGTATCACCGGAAAAGCAAAGTAGCTGTTGTTTTCCCCACCTTCTCCTATTCCCACCCTTCCATTTGCCCAGAACTATCACTTTTGGTAATGACAGGGTGGCAGCAACAAAGATTATGAACTCAGTCGTAGTTTGCACTTGTAATAATATAATAAAAAAAGTGAGTAAATCCTTTGATATTGATTCAAAAGGATTATTCATTCACAAGGCCCTGTTGGTTACACCCACATTTCTGGCAATGGAAGCCCAGTATTTTAATTTTAGGCCCTTTGCCACCAATACTTGAGTTATTCTTTTCTTCAGTACTTCATTCTTTTATTCATCCTGAATATCAGAGAATCCCAGAGTGGTTTGGGTTGGAAGGGACCTTAAAGCCCAATCCAGTTCCACCCCCTGCCATGGACAGGGACACCTTCCACTATCCCAGGTTGCTCCAAGCCCTGTCCAACCTGGCTTTGAACACTTCCAGGGATAAACCCTTTCTTTTTTTTCCTTAAAAAAGTCAAATGCTGAAGTGAGAGAACATGTAATTTCTTTTAGAAAAAAAACTGATACAGGTAGACAAAATTTTTTGAGTCCAAAAAACAAAACCTTCATGTGCCTGAGTGTTTGTTTTTTTTTCCAAAATACCAGCAAGATTAAAGATTCTTTTTTTTCCCCTACAGACAAAATTGGCAGAAATCAAAGCACATAAAAGTTAAGACATTTTTTCTGATAAAAAGGAAAAAAATTGATCTATTTCTATAAACATAAAAGTTTGACAAAAAAAGTATTTCCTTCTAAATTAGTATTATTTTCAGAAAACTTCCCTGAGTTTCAAAAAAATTTCAAAATTTTCTCAAGATGAACAATGTGGGTTTTTTTCTTAGGATGAAAACAATTTTGGAAAGGTTTTTGTTTGAAGTAACATTCAAGGAGTCAAATCTTTTTCAGCTACCAAAAAAATCATTAAAAAAATCAGGTTGAGGATTTTGGTTTCCAATTTTCCAACTTTTTCCACAGAAAAATTTTAAAGATTAAAAATCTTCAGCAATTAAATCACTACCAAACTGTTCAGACCTTAATCCTAACATTGCTACATAAATATCCAGATTTGTCAGTGATTTATTACCACAGCACAGTATTTCAGTAGGTTAATAATTATTTTGCTATGAATAATTTAACTTATTGATTGTTTATTTTTTACTTCACCCTAAAATCCCTTCCTACAGAAAGAAATACCAACAACATAATTTTCCCCTTCTTTTGTACATATGCAAAGTTCCATTAAATGGAGTATCTGGACATTTAATAACATATTATACTCATAATCTTTTTATGAGATAAGAAAACCTCACTGTCTTCTCCATGGAGATGGGAAATTGGGAACAGGAGAGCTTAATTCCAGTTAAATTCTAATTATTTGAAATATTTAAATGTTCAAATCCAACACAATCACCCAAAGCTCCAGGTAGGATTAGGGGGTGGCATAGACCTCTCCCTGGGAAATGTTTTGCTCCCCTTAAGACACAAACCCCTTAAGATCACTTTCCTCTCCCATATTCTACCTGGGGAATAAATTGCATCTGATTAAAGTAGGATGAGTCTGTACCAAAATGATTTACAGAGGGAAGAGGAGGGAAACTAAAGACTTTTCAGAGGAAAAATCTGTGGTTGTCTCTCATACTCCAGACAAGACCTTGGTGGTCAGTGCCTGCTTATTTGTTAATAAAATGCATTATATAAAGCATTATCATTATTCTTATGGTGAAAATACCTCTGGCTTAAGCAGGATTTGGTTCAGGGAGATTTCCTCAGGGATTTCTTTTCAGCACACGTGGACAGGAGCAGGTTTTAGGTGTGTGTAGAAGCTCGTGCAGGACTTGAGCAGGAGCCTGAAAAACCCTTGTCCTTGTGAATTAACAGCCCAAAGGTCATCACACAGCAATGACTTCAGCTCTTTGCACTCCCAGGGGATAGAAAAACCCCCACCTGGGTGGAAAGGGTGACGATGCCACACCCAGGGGAAGCAGCCCAAGAACTGTGCTGGGCTGGTGCCAGCTCATAGGAGCTGAGAAATTGGGCTGAATCATCTTAGTTCTGAAACTTATTTAAAGAAATACTGGTGGCTGCTTAGAAAGCCTTCCAGAGGAACACCAGCAGGTACCAAACCTCTTTGAGTCACCTCATCAGAGTGGGAGACTGCTGTGCTGAGGGCAGTGGAGCTGCAACCATTTAGACCAGTGGAGCTTCAGGCACCCACAGGGCTTTAGGGCATCTCATTTCTTTGGCTGCCTATCTGTAGCATCAGCTTGGTTTGTACATCTGATCCTAAAATCCACTTCACCACAAAGAGCCACAGCAAAATTCAACTTTACAGAAGGCAGGGTTGGTTTATTGTTTCTTTTAGAGCAGCAGAGCAAGACCAGGTTCACCAAAGACTAAATTCGTCCTGCGAGGAAGAGATTGCCCCAGAGCAGAAGGAGATTTGCAAACCTCACCACTCCTTTCCTGGCTTCAGTTTGTGGCTTTCCTGTGTGAATGGCTGCTCCCCTGAGCACACAGACATCGAGGCATCTTCTTGAACAAGTGACATCAGACAAACTTATTTCCCAAAGTCTCCAGATGCTCAAGCAAAGCAGTGGCTCTCTGAGCTTTGTGATTCACTCTGCTCAAATCCTGGTGCTTCTTGCTAAAAGGAGAAATTAGCCATTTGAGGATGATATTCCTGTGTGTGCCCCAGAGACACTGCATTCAAGTGCTTAGCCCGACATTAGGCCTCCATGAGTTAATTAAAAAATAATCATTTTTTCTGCTCCTCTTCTGGTTGCCTTCACTCAGGCAAATGTGCTGAAACCACAAAACCAGCAAAAGGATTGCTTTAGCTGGAAGATACTATATGAATTCAGCATATTTTCTGCATAGAAATATGACATTTGTATGGAAATGACCTATTTTCTTGAACAGGCAGCTATATATCACAGGGAGTTTCACTGTAACATTTATGCAAACGAGATTGGGAAGCACTTTCCTGTAAGGTGCTTATTTCCTCCAGACCAAATAATAAGGCAAAGCACAATCAAGAAGCTTAGAAGAAATATTTCCCTCAATGTCATATGTTTCGAGCCACTGGGTATTTGTTTTGATTTCTGTGATATTTCGTGTTTGTTTGTCTTCTGCCTTAAAGGAAGCGGAGGGCTCAGAAAGGAATAATCCATTCTCCCTCTTTTCTTTTCTAATCACATTACAGTTTGCAGACGATGGCAGATTGGCAGCATGACAGATCCACGCTGCCCTAATGACCATGGCAGCCCTGGCCTGGTCACTGGTGGAGGCACAGGGGCATTTCTGTGCAGCAGCACCACCAACCCCGAGCTCGCTGCGCAGAGGGAGCCAAAATCCTCCTGACAAATCCACGTTACCATGACCTACATTTATCCCAGCACAACACATGTGGCAATTCAGCAATCAGCCACCATTCCGGGCAGACAGCCTAAGGAATGCTGACAGGGATCATTACTTTGCAGCTTTTCCCTTCAGCTGCAGAATTATGGTGTGTTACTCCAGGGGCTTGAGCCGCTTCCAGCTCCAGTCGGGGCAAAACTCAGGGTAACGACCAGCAACACAAAATCAAACCCAAAGCCAACACATCACATCGATAGAAAGGTGTTGTAGCCATAGAACACATAACTAGTAAGTCATTTTTAGGCTGCTTTTATTGCAAAATTACAGTTTGAATTAATAGTTGCACAGCTACCAGATTGCTTTTTTCGCCAGCGCTGAATGAAACTCTCTGAACTGATTCAACCCCACTGAAGACAAGTGCAAAATTCACCCTGACATGAACGGGTTTCCAGCTGAGAGATCCTTTGAGCTTATCATGAATTAAGGTATAGCTTGTTCTGATGATGAATTGAAATGATTTAAAATCAATTACAACATAAAAGACATCCCAAACTAGATGTTCACTGAGCTAAGATTCTTGATTTACAGCCCAACATCCTGCCCCTAAATGGAAATCCATACATCACTGAATCAACGTAATCAGACTTCAGATAACTTACTTTAGAGCAGAAAATTCATCCTTTTTCCTCTATTCAAGCCATTAGCATTAGCTGGGCATTAACAGCAATCAGAATAATTATCAGTGCAGACATTTCACCATCAAAACTCCATGAGCATAACAGAGGCTTCCAAACAGTCAACAACCCACTATGAAACCAGCCCTGAGTCATTTTGGCCACTGCTTTATGTCACAAATGCAGAACAGCTGTGGAGCAGATAATGATTTACTCTGAGTCCTCTGGAAGTGTCAAACCCTTCCAGGCTTGTGCTCAGCCACAAGCACCACTCCTTTTCTAAGGAGAAAAGAAAACTTAAGACACTTGTGCCAATATGATATTAATGGAAGCAGCTTTTTGTTGTGTTTTAAGGAGAGAGGACACACCACTGAACTGTGAGTTCCCATAGTTGCATGACTATTTATATAGAGAAATATAAATTCATATAAATGTATACATATCTATAGATACACATTTTATACATTTTTAAGCATATACATACGTACATATATACACACGGTGTTATATACACATACACAGATTTGTATATACATATATATAAATATATATATATACACACAATTGCACACACAGCTTGCTTTTTAGCTAGCTAGAGTTATAAATTCTCCCTCCCCCACAGAGCCAAGATGATCCCAGCTGCCTCTGCTGAACACCCCACGGTTGCCTCTCCATCCCAAATTAAATATAATCCTCATTATTCTGCCGCTCTGGTTCCCGAGAAATTTGGCAACCTTTCGGAACGACTCGAGATGCAGCAATTCCTCCTGCCTTGCCTCTACTAACCTATTCTAGGAGATGCAATATGCTGCTAAGATTAAGTGTCCAAAATGCTAATATGTCTGAGAAGTGCCTCCACTGACCTACATTGGGAATGTAGGTCGTAAAGTGGCTATTTTTAGCTTCGTTACCGAAATGCCCATATTTTAATAACAGTCCATAGCAAGCCATGCTCCTGAACACTCACCCCAGAACTTTCCAGCCATCCAATTCTACACTTTAACAGCATAGATACAGACTTAGATACACACACAGGATATGTGCATACACTGTACAATCCCAGTGTCAGCATTTCCACAACATTCCATCTCCCCGTTCCAGAAGAAGTAACGACACGGGAGGCAGTTACCCCTTCTCTGAGTTGTCAGCAACTCATTCTAGGAGCATCTCCTCTTTGTCCCTGAAGTGCAGCTCTTTGGGATCCATCTGCCCCGGGGGATTTGTGCTCTGAAGGCTTTAGCAGGCTTTGGTTGGCTTGGAGGGGCTGGCGGAGCACGGGGCCCGTGGCACCGCCAGGGCCAACCTCGGGAGGAGGCTACAGGTGGGCAATCCAGTCGGTGCAGAGGGAAGTCTTGAGGTGCAAATACATCACTCTACAGAGAAACCCAACAGAGAGAGCCACGTTTTCAGCTGGTCCCCACTCCAGGCAATGTGCCAACAGAGGGGGCAGAACTTGTGGTCGGTCTGAGCATGCAGAGGGGTCGGAGCTGAGAATGCCAAAGACCTGGAGGCTGGTTGAGAACGTGGGCCAAAGGCAGGGAAAACAGGGGTTTGTGAGACATTTGCTCACTGCTCTAAAGGGTTTTCAGTAAGGTTTTCCTGTTGTCATTGACTGCCTCCACCCCAGCGAGAGGCACTTGGCTTTCAGGTGCCGTTGGCACTGTCAGCCGTGGCACAGCTCCCACTTGTCACAGCTCAACCCACCTCCCAGCAATGCCACTGTCATCCCCTCCATCAGCATTCCAGGCTGTAGTGTCACAGCCCCTCAGTGCTCACAGCAGGAATATATCTATTTATATTTATAGATATAAATTAGATACATCCACAATTCTTACTTTATTGCTTTAAAACTGAAGGGGAGAATTAACCATAGATTAAATGATGACTCTTTGCCTTAACCAGTGCCTTTACTCCTCCTCGGGGCTGCAGAACGAGGAGCCCATAGCTGTGACTCGCCCTTTCTTTGAAGAAAACACTCACATAAACTGGATCTAAAAAAATACCTTTACTTGCCATATCTCTTTGCTTGCCAATACTATCCACTTTCCAAAGCAGCCAGGGGTTTTGGATCACTGCAAGAAAACATAACAGAAGTGATGCCACACGAAATTGCTCTCTAATTAAGAAAAATGCATTAGCTACACATCTATTTTAGCAGTGCTTTGAGGACAGCTGATCAGATGTGCCCTTGCAGGGCAGTTTAACAGCACCAGAAAAACTCTGGATGGGTTTTCTAAAGAAAACAGAGACAAAATATTAAATTCCCAGCTTTTTAAAAGCTCCTTTTTTCAGCAAAACGCTACAACATGATTTTTCTAAGTGCTCCCTGTGCACACTGGACCAGTCCCTCCAGTGGTGCAGCACCCCAGGGACCGGATTTCTCAGGGTGGAGCAGATTAGCTGGACAAATCCAACCCTGGAATCTCACTAGTGGGAATTTCTTACACCTCCCTTTGAGTCAAGACTGTCCTGGGCACTCTCAGGACACGGCAGAGTGAACACATTTCAGCTCTAAGCTGAGTGGCAATGCCTGTACTCTTTTGAGCATAACTCCTTCCTTCTCCAAAGAAAAGAAAAATATTAACATTTAGAAGCCCTATTAAAAAGTATAGCTTCATGAGAATTTTCACACTTTGCAATGTTTCCCTCTCTCCAGTCATACTCAGAATAAAATCAAACCAAACAATCACAGAACAAGAAAAACCCAAACAAAACCCCCAAACAAACAAAAACCTCGAAACAAACAAACCCCACAAAAACAAAACCAAAAACCAACAAACAAACCATTAATTAACTTTGATTTGCAAAACTAAAGCTCAATGACAGACTTCGGTTCAAGGGTTATCCAGATAATGGACATTATATATATATATATATATATATATATATATATTTACACACATATAATAACTTGGAGAATACAAAACCAAAGGTTTTTGTAGCTTTCTAGAAAACTCATCTCAGTTTAGGACAGTCTGCTGTGACAGACTTAGTTTTAAACAATTTTGGTCTGAAAAAATATCAACAAACACATTCCTGCAGTTCTTTAACACCTAAACCAGGTACTGTCTCTGGAAAAGCAAAGCAAAGCTGAGGAAAGAAAGAAAAAAACCATAACAATCCCATAACAGTATATTAATGCCACTGGAACATCTGGAGAAAGTCATTATCTTCAGATGAGATGGTCCCTGCAGGACAAAGACTCCCAAACATTTCCTCTGCTTTTTTTTTTGGCTGCTTGGTTGTTTTTTTTAGGGTTTCTGTGACAGGAGTCCCCCCCTTGGCAGTGGTGCCAGGTGCCACCACCAGCAGCAGGGATGGCAGTGCCATCAGAAGCAGCAGCACATCTCAGGTCTTTTCCATTCCAGCAGTGATTTATCACAGTTCAGGAACCCCTGTTTGGAATCATTCAGGCCCTCCTGGAAAATCTCCTTGCTGCAGAGAACCTCCCTCACTGGCACCACGCTACAGCAAGGTGCCAGATTGCTGTGCCACGTGCCATGGGCAGGATATTCCTCCACAAAAACAAGTGGCCTTTGCTTGAATTCCCAGATACTGAGAGATTCAACCCTTGGCTATCCTAAAATATTTCTTCAGGACTCATAGGATATCTCTGAGAGACTTAGAAAATTCTGGTAGAGAAATAAAGACGTTAGAAAAAGTAAATGGACATTAAAGATTCAGCGAGTTATTCATATTTTATGTCGTGCTATGCCCTCTATTTGTATCTATTCTTTTCCAGGCACCCAACAGCTGAGTATATCATGTACATCTTCGTGACGCCTAAAAATAACCCCACACTTCAGATGAACATCCTTAACATTCAAAAAACACAATGGTTGATGCAACATCCACCCTGCAGGGACTGCCCAGCGTGAATGTGGGACAGAGCACTCCTACAGCAATGCCAGTGGCTCTGCTCCTCTGAGCCTTTTCCTGTCATTTTTGCCCAAAAATGATCCACCTGACACCATTCTGAAAAACACAGCGTCAACCAATTTAACAGAAAGTGCCACCACAGGGGAGCGTTTCCCAAACACAGTCCCAGTGATCAAAGATCACCTGAAAGTTTCACCTCCTGGGGGAACCCTGTGTGTAGCAAAGCAAATGCTCTCCTCAGGAACACCCCAAACTGCCCCAAACAACCTCAACAAAAATGAGAATCACCTGCTTTTACAACTGGGGAACTATAAGGATGAAGGAAAAGGTATTTTAAGAATAATTCTATGAAACAAAGTTGTCAGCGCCTGTTAATCATAGAATCACAGAATGGCCTGGGTTGGAATAGTTAATATTCTTGCTTTCAAAGTAAAAAGTAATACTAATAAAGTGTTTTCAAATAATTTGCAATTGTAACATTAATAATCTTCTTGGCTAGTTGGTTACCAATGACATTAGGTCTAAACTAATTTGTCTTGATGCAAATGTTCTTATTTTAAAATCAAAAGCATTAATTTGTGAGTGAGGTCAATCAGAAAAATTACTAAATTGATACAAACCCATTTTCTCTGTGCCATGACTCATTTTATTCTGAAATAGTTACAGGGAGCACTTGTCTCAACATACTTGAATCCACTTAATGTGTGTTGTAATTTTCTGAGATCAGCTTTTGCTCTTCACTCAAGTCTGTTGACTAAAACTGAGCAAAATGTGGTGTTTCAACAGTGGCTCCAAGGGAGCAGAATTGGGCCTCTAGCCCATCCCCACTCAAGGGTTTGTTCCAGGCACATTCCAGTTCTTCCACTAGCTCAAACAGGTTTCAAACTGGGGCACAGCTACACCTGTCCAATCAAAACAGCAATATTTCAAGAACTGGAAAATGGAACTGCATTTCCACTCATATCAGTATTAAAAACCAGCAATTTTTGTACAAAAAGCTGTCGTGAAGCTCCATATTGTGCGGATTTACATTTCTTCCATGGAGAACAACTGTGTTGTACTGTGTCACCCATTCATAAATCCATCCATCCATAAATTCACTGCGAAACCCAGCTATGAGGAAGCCAGATTTAGAATCAAGCCTAGGAAAACTCGGAAAATAGGAATATGCCGTGCACAGCAGCCTGATTTCCTAGTGTACATAAATCCACATTGTAAAAGCAAATGCCTCTGGAAGAAGTGCAATCCTGGAACAAGTTCCCACCTAAGTGGCTGGAGCTCTGCCAGGAGTCGTACCCTGTGGTTGAGTGATGTAGCTGAGCAATGAACTCCCACACTTACAGCCAAATTCTACACCATTTTTTTTTTCATATGAGCATTTCTGTTCCACCTAAACCCAAATCATCAGGTCTCATTCGTCTGGAGTAGCTACTCGAACCAAGTGGAAGCAGCACAGAGCTCATGAAGTGCCACTGGCACACCTGAGTTCTCCAGAAATGTAGAGCACTGCAGATTGACATTTTGTAGAGACCTTTCTGTCCTGCTGCTGGAAAAGTTCACAGAGAGAACATCAGCTGAACAAAACCACCCATTTCGAGCTTAAAACCAAATCAGCCACACTCAAAAGTGATTTTGCCTGGAAAGGTCTCTGACAAAATCTTGAGCTATCACAGCTTAACTCAAATTCGCTGACTGTCATAACAAATGAGGTTCTCACTCTCAATACCCATCTAACCAGAGCAGTTCAGGTTCTGTCTTCCTGCAACAGGCATTGGATTGCTTCCCAAAATTCAGATTATTACTCATACCGTAACAATGAACAACTTTCTCTCACTGTTGATACACCCAAGAGATCCATGAAGCAATTTCCAAGCAAATCTTTTAACCCAGGGCACAGTGTGACCGTGACATCAATGACAATATCCAGGAAATACAAAAGAGCACCAATAACTGAGCACCATCCTTTCCATTTCCCTGTGTGCAGCTGTTATTGACTGGGAACTTACCTGGCCTTGCTGTTCTTTTCCACCTGTAGGAAGAATTTCAATATAGTCAATGAGTGAACAGACCAAACACATGCTGAAAACTTTGCTACCAGCACCCCCAGAGGCTGAACTGCTCAGGCCAACACCAGGTACTTTTACAGCAGTGAAATAAGCTAAAAAAATATTTATTTAAAATAGTATCCCATCAAACAGCTCTAATGTAACTGCAGATCACTTTGACTTTATTTGATTCCTTCCCAGCATCATGAATGCTACCAAGAATACTGCTGATAATGATATAATTAGCATTAATACTCCCTAATAATTAGGTGTAACCCAGGCTGAAGCATGTGAAGAGTCACCTATCACAGATCAGAGGTGAGGGATCCACTTTAGTTTCCTGCAGTGGGAAGCACTGCTGCCACCCCCTCAACCCTCAGCTCAGCACAATGAAACAGCAAAATAAAAGTCATCAAAACACCCTTTAGACATCACACTTAAATACTGTCAGCAATTCCAAAGCGAATCGTCTCTTTAAAATACTGTCAACACTTCCAGAGCAACTCGTCCCCAAATCATCTCAGTGCACAGGGAAAAGGAAGTTTCCTACGCAAGGAAAGAAAAATAACTCAGCATAAGCCAAAAATTATCTCTTTTAATACAAAATTCCATTCTCATAGAACAAATTTATTTTCCACTGAATAAATAGATCTGCTCACCGTCCGCGGGCGAGATTACTGCCTATAGTTACCTTGAAATTCTCTTGCCTTTCTGCAGTTTAATTAAAATATAAACATTATTTGCAACAGGCTTTACTCTGTTTGGATACAAGTATGAACACTTGGGGGTTTGGTGACATTGCCAAATGTTTACAGCACCACTCTCACTGGGGGTTGTACTTTAACCTGATTTATACAGCTCCACGTGTTACTTGCATGTAGGCTCATCGATGTAATTATTACAATTATGATGAGGAGGATCTGGCCTTTGCACTTGCATGGTTCATACTTTTAGCATGTGCATGCTCTTCTATCATCCATTAAAAAAAAAAAAGCAAACAAAAAAAAAACAAGCAACAAAGAGAACAAATGAACCAACCCCAAGGGGTTAGAGCTGAAGGCAGCAGTGATAAAACACAGTATCAACTCAACAGAAGAAATTCGGATGGGTAACATTTTTTACTGATGTAATGGAGGTGATGCTGGGTTTACAGACGTTTGGAGCTGTCCCTCTGTCTCCAGACTCCCACAGCTACTACCATGACTCTCCAAGACAGATGGACCCAAAAAGCCTACCAGGAGCATCCTGGCTGGAGCTGTAAATAGCGACACTGGGGGGGAAAACAAGTATTAATGGGTTTATCTCTGCTAAAACGCATTGTGCAGGGTGAAACCGAGCTGTTCCCCAGAGGGAGGAGGGTGGATGGTCGGGAGAGTGACCTTGGGAGGGGGGGAGGAAGGAGGGGGAGATGACAAATCCCGTTCCCCTCAGGACAGCGGCAGGAGCGCTCCGGGCAGCACCTTTGGAGCTCAGCGGGGGGAATAACCTCCATACACCCGGATACATCACCCTGGACCGCTGCTCAGGCAAATTATATTTATGAAACAGGTTGGATACTTCTGTATAAAAATCGCTATTTGAAGGACTTGAGGAGCTACGGGCTGTGCCCCGCCCCGGAATAAGGCGCCCGGGGGTACATTCAGCGGGGCGGGGTGGGATGGCAGGAGAGGGGCCGGGGATGCAGGAGCGGCTCCAGAGGCGGCCCCGGGAGCGGCTCCGTGCGCGCTCCCGCGGCCGCCCCAGCGCTGGAGCGGCGGTGCCACCTGGCGGCCGCGCGGGGACGCGCACCGGCGGCGACACGGGGTGGGGACACCGGGGACAACAGACACACCAACGGCGGCAAGATACCACCCGGGACCTGCCCCGGGGCCAGGGCAACCCGATCGTCTTTGGTCTCGCTCCGCTTGAGGCGGGAGCGGGGAGGGACGCTGCCTTTCCAGATCGCACCGCCCCATTCCAAACTGGAATTTGCGGTTTAATTCACCCCCCCTCTCCTGCGCGTTTTGACCGCTCAGCCCCGCACGGACTGCGGGGACACCCCAGCGAAGCCTCGGTGCCTCCAGCAGGCCGGGAGCCAGCGCTCCGGAGGGATGCGCTCCCAGTTTTCCCGGTATTTTTAACTATCAGCACAGCACAGCAGGGATACAGATCGCAAATCGGATTTGTGACAGTCTCGGGTGGTATCTTGGCAAGAGACGCTGTACAGGTTTTTTTTTTTTCTCTGTTAACATCACAGTGCATCGAACTGTTATTAATAAAATAGCGTTCAAGGTTATGGGAGGGAAGGAAATCTCCGTGGGGGAAGCTGAAGTTTCAGGTTCAAGCTTTGTATTCCTATATATATATATATATTTGGGGTTGTATATATATATATATATATATGCATTGTTTTTCAAAACGTTTTATTAGGAAAGCTATACCAGACGCATCACTGTACAATGATTAAACATTACCTTTACAATTTATATTCACTTGAAATTACAGAATAAATATATGCACATTGTTGTACCTTTGTGTGTGTGTGTGTGTGTGCGTGTATGTGTGCATGAGAGAAAACATTAAAAGTGCTTCCTACAAAGCTGTTAGTGAGAGGTGCCCAGTAGCTTTTTTTTTTTTTTTTTTTCCCTTTTTTTCTGTATATTTGCATGTTGCTTTTATTAGGAAAGTGCGGATGTCCTCCAAAAAACCATGGCGTCATGATGAAGTGTCACTGAGCATCCCCTAGGTGTGTGCGCCACGTGGTGACATCCTTTGGGCTGCTCGGCTCCGGGGAGGACGGGGGGGAGTTCCCCCCAGCCCACGGGATTCCCCCCGCGGCCCCCGGGCCCCGCTGCCGCCCTGCGCGGAGGGGCCGGGGTGGCGGGGAGGGTGAGGGTGAGTGTGCGTGCGAGGGAGGGAGAGAGACAAGAGTGAGACATTCGAGCAAGACCCTCCCCTCCCTTCCCCTCTTGCAGTTTCCAGGCATGCAGCAAACCGCTCTCGTTTGCTTCTTTGCATTTTTGTTTTCTTTTAAATAAATGTACAGAATCTGTGCCATGATGGGCAAGAAGAAAGCAAGCCACAAAATGCCATCTTCCCTCCCCCTCCCCTCCAAGGGAAAATATCAAGGAAGTTTACTCGCAACGGAAATAAAAAAAGAAAAAAAAAAAGCCAACAAACAAAACAAAGGACAAGAATAAAGAAAAACAAAGAAAAAAGATAAAGAAAAAGAAAAAAGAGAGACACACACATAGAATTTACTTAATCAGGATCAATACAAAGATCCCCCATAATAATAATATAATAATAATAATAATAATATACCTTTATGACATGGCACAGTCAAAGTCTCAGTTTCAGTATAAAAAATAATGATTGATTAACATCTGCTGGCAAAAGTCTGCGAAGGCACTTCGTCGATTACTGATCTGAGAAGGGCCCTGCCCCGCAGCGCGCACATCTGGCAGGGCAGAGCGCACAGCTGTATCCTCTGCCCGCGGGCGGCGGGGCCGGGCGGGCGGCGGGGCGGCGGTCAGAACCGGTACGTGGTCTTCTCCAGGACTTCGAGGTAATCCGGCTTGGTTTGGAGTTTGGCCCTTAACTCGAGGTATTCGCTTGTGGGGGTTTGGTGGTCCGGGAAGCCCTTGCCGGCCGCGAAGAGGAGCGTCTCCTTCAGCCTGGCGTCCTGCTGCAGGTCCGGGTATTGCATGCCGGGGGGGTGGACGTGCAGTTCCTTCAGCTTGGGCACGGTGCCGTACAGGCAGTCCACGAAGCCCACGGCGCAGGGCGGCGGGCGGTCGCGGTCCCGCGGGGCTCCCCCCGCCGCCGCCGCCCCGAGCGCGCCCGCCGCCAGCCCTCCGCCCGCGGGGTGCTGGGGGTGCACGGCCACGATGGTGTTGAGCTGCGAGCTGGACACGGCCAGGCTCCACTCCTGCTCCTTCTCCAGCAAGGTGCGGTAGCTGCTGCCGGGCTCCGGCGCGGCGGCGGGGGCGGCGGGGTGGGCGAAGCCGCGCTCGCCGCCGCCCCGCAGCAGCTCGGCCGGCTCCCCTCCACCTCCACCGCCGCCACCGCCGCCGCCGCCCGCCGCCTCCTCCTCCTCCCGCGGCTTGTAGATGGGGTTGTTGCACATCTGGGTCACCGGGTGCGGGATGTAGTCGTAGACGTGGCCCGCCGGGGGCGCCTTCTCCGGGGACCGCTCGCCGGTGCCCCCCCGCCCCCGCCGCCGCCGCCGCCGCCGCCGCCTCGGGGAAGAGCCTCGGGCAGCGCAGCGGCACCGCGCCCAGGTCCGCCGCCTCCGCCCGCGGGCCGCGGAACGGCAGCTTCCTCCGGCGGCGCCGCGGCACGAAGGCGAAGAGCCCGGCGGCCACCAGCACGGCGGAGAAGAAGAGGACGAGCAGGCTGAGGATGAGCACGGACAGCGGCACGGCGGCGGCGGCCGCGGGCAGCTCGTAGGCGGCCGCGCCGGTGGCCGCGGGCGGCGAGAGGGCGGCGGGGGCGGGCAGGCGGCGGCGGCGGCGGGCGCAGGGCGGCGGGGCACAGCGCGGCCAGCTCCAGGGAGCGCAGGTCGCGGCGGGCCAGCGGCTCGGGGGTGAAGCACAGCACCTCGCCCACCACGCTGACCGAGCTGAGCCCCTCCAGCCACTGCTTGAGCGGCACCAGCTCGCAGGTGCAGTCCCAGGGGTTGAGCTTCAGGTCGATCTGCACGATGGCGTGCAGGTGCTCCAGCACCCCGGCCACCGGCAGCGCCAGGAAGTGGTTGTTGCGCAGGTTGAGGCGCGCCAGGGAGGTGCCGGCGAAGGCGTCGGTGGGCAGCGTGCGGAGCAGGTTGTCGTTGAGGAAGAGGAGCTTCAGGTTGGGCATGAGGCTGAAGGCCGCCGGCTGGATTTCCCTGATCAGGTTGTACTCGAAGTACAGGTAATGCAAACTCTGCAGGCCCCGGAACATGCCCGGGGTGAGCCGCTCGATGTCGTTCCCGTTCAGGTACAGGCTCTTGAGGTTGGGCAGGTTGATGAACGCCCCGTCCTGCACGTAGGAGATCCGGTTGTTCCCCAGGTGTAAGAGATCCAAGGAGGAAAAATTCCAGAAATCGGAGCGGTAGATTTTCTGGATCAAATTCCCGTTCAGGTACAGCTTCTTGGCGTTCAAGGGCCTGGGCAGGAGCTCGGAGATGTTGTGGAACCCTCGCTCCTTGCAGTTGACCGTCAGGCCCAGGTCGTTGATGTGCAAACTGCAAGAGCAGCCGGTGGGGCAGATGATGGGGATGGGGGGCCGGGTCTGGTAGGCAGCCACGGGGGGTTGGTTGGGCCCAGGGTACAGGCCGCGGGGGGTCGGGGGAGGCCGGGGCGCCCTGGGCTGCTTGGTGGGCTTGGGCTGCTTGTTGGAGGTTTTGTACTCAACAGAGGAGGCGGTGAAATGGAAGGAGGACAGCATGGAGGAAGGCTTCGTAGGCCACGCGTTCTCCTTGCTGGACGACAGCTGAGGGATGCCCAGGCTGGCTTCCACCTCGGAGTCGGACAGCATGGGACACAGCTTGCTTCTCTTGATTTCCCTCAGGTCCTTCCCGTGGAAGTGGAAGGGGGTCTCGCAGGTGATGTCCCCCACCAGGGCAGTGTAGGGGATGCGCTCCAACCAGCTCTTCAGCTGCACGATCTCACACGTACAGTTCCACGGGTTCTCCTCCAGCTGGATCTCCATCAGGCTCCTGCCAATATGGTCCAACATCCCGCGGTAGGAAAGGACTTTCAGCCGGTTCCCGCGCAAGTCCAAGTGGGTTAAGGACACAGACTTAAATAAATTGGTGGGAAGCATGGGGATGAGATTGTCGTTTAGGATAAGGACCCTCAATTTACTCAGGTTTCGAAATGCCCCGCTTTCAATCCGTTTAATGACATTGTAATCTGCCTGCAGATATTCCAGACTTTCCAAACCCAGGAAAGTGTCGTTCCTGAAAATGTCCAATTTGTTTTCGTGCAAATACAACCTCTTCAGAACTCGGAGCCCATTAAAAGCCCCCGTCTGAATGTCCTGCAGTGCGTTGTTCCCAAGGTTAATAGACACAGCATTGTTCAAGTGAAGAAAACTGTTGGTGTACAATTTCCTCATGGAATTCCTCTGCAGATAAAGTTTAAAAGGTCTCGACCATGACTCTGTTATCTGACTAATATTTATAAATCCTTTGTTGTCACAATGTATATGGAAAAGGCTCTCCTTCACTTCACAGTAACATGGATCAAAGCAGGGCTCATCCAGTTCCTCCGAGTCCTCTATCAAGGGAATAGGTGTAGTCCATGCTAGAGCAATTGTGCTTAGAAGAATTATCCACAACATCCTTCCTTTATGAAGCGTCTCTGCCGTGGAAGGTTTCATCATTTCTTGGTGTTTACAAAACTGCAACGGGAAGAAAAATGCAGATTTCAGTGTTTCTGCCCTGCCCCACTCCTTTTACTTAAGCCCCTTACCTGCCAGACTCGCGTTAGGCTCTTGGAAAGTTCAGCAATTGTTGGGCAGACGTTCACAACCAACTCCAGGGGTGTGGGATGGGCGAGCCTTGCCCTGATTTATACTTAAGAGATGGTAGACGGTTCCATCACGCGATAGCAGCCTCCCTTCTCCCCCTCCCCGTGGTAAATGCCACCTATAAAGAGGACAGCACATGCAGCCCCACACAGCAACACGAGCACGCTCGGGATGGACGTGTTGCATCTCTCTACACGATTTCCACCGTAGGACCAGCGTTTGCAACTCCACAGATCTCACACTTGGGTGCTTTGTGGCCATCACAGCCCCCATCGGCTACGGGGGGGGGAGTGAAACACCGGTGGGCAGATTTCTCCAGTGTCGCACTCCATCCTGCAGCCATGCAAACTCCCAAAGTTATTGAGCCTCAGCCCTCGAATCCCTCTCCCTCCCGGCTCAATGTATTCCACACGTAAGTTGCATGGAGTGTGCAGGGTTTGCTGATGTCCCTGGCAGAACGGTTCCCCCTCAGAAATCCCCACAGCATCTTCACCAGAGTAAATGGTTAACAGCCCTCCCTGATGCGAAAGGGAAGCTTCCCCTCGCAAATGCGCCGGTGAATTAATGCAACTGGTATATTATCAGATAAATACACACCACATATTAGTCATTTTAGCTGATTAAAGCATTTAGAGATGATTAATCTTTCTAAAGCACATGCCCATGCGATCAGCAGATCTAAAGGGAAGTGACAGCTAAAGAGGCACCTAGGATTGAAACGCTCAGCCTGCCTTGGATTAGGGCATTTTGTGCCCCCAGGACCAAGCAGGAGACCCGGTTAAAAAGCTAAAAGTGGAGGAAAAAAAAAAAAACAAACCACAAAACCTTGACACTTACCAGCCGATAAATTTGCTATCCTACTATATACGTTCCCGAATGAAGACACCATTCTTCTCCAATCAGATGAAAATAACGCTGCACTAATGAGATGCAGCTCCTTCAACATATGGTTTCACCCTTCCTTCCACCAGATATTTTAAATGTATGGGCACAGAGGAACGCTAAGGATGGTAATAATAACGGCGGTGATGCAGCCTTCCTTGAATCCCTGAAATGCCCATTAGAACCGTTCGGAGCGATCGTCGCTTTTAGTCTTAATCTCTCAATAGAAAAGGTCCTTTTTGCCTTCCTCGTGTAAGAACTAGAAAAATTTGCCCCCCATCCACAAACTTAAGAGCAGAAGGATGCATTTAGGGGAGAGAAATGCCAGAGGAACAGAAATCCTTAGGATCAACTTGCAAATGAAACCCTCCCCTGTGGGAAAGAGGAGATGGTTGAAAGCACGAAAAGAGAAATACCCTCTGCAATTAAAACCAGCATCTAATTGGGGAGAAGGGAGAGAGATGAGAGCTATATTGCAGTATCAGTCTCTCTGTCTCCTTTGCAAAATATTAAGTTCTTTCTCTTCTGCAAGGGCTGTAATAAAAAATAAAAAAATAAATAAAGAGGATTATTATATCTTCTTTTTGGAAGAGGGGGGTGTCTTTGACCCTAGGCGGAAACAAAAGGATCCAGAAAGGTTGTACTTACCGGTTTGCAGGAGAGATTTTAGCACATCGTTACAATAGCAAAAAAGCAAAAGAGGGGAAGGGGGGAAAAAAAAAAGCTCGAGTTTAAAGATTGCTGGTTTCTCTCTGCCTCTCCCTCTCTGTGGCTCTCTCTCCCTGTCTCTCTACTCCTGCTGAAGCTGAGGCAAAAGGGAAAAAAAAAAAAAAAAAGGCAGGGAAAAAAAAAAAAAAAAAAAAAAAAAGAAGCAAGCCTGAAACGTGCTGGGAATGCAATGAGCCCCTCAATGATCTTCTTTAGGATGCAGAGCTGCTGTTTGGCACACTCAATGGAGGAGGGAGGAGAGGGGCTGCTGCAGGCTCCAGCGCCGCCGCCACCGCCGCCTTCTCCGGGCAGCGGCAGCGCGGAGCGGGAGGCTGGGGCGCGGCGGAGCGCGGGCTGCGCTCCCTCCCCGTGTGCGGGTGTGTGTGTGCGGTGTGTGCGGGGCGGCTGTGTGTGTGTGTGCGTGTGTGTGTGTGTGTGTGGTGCTGTTGTTGCCCTGGATCAGGCTTTTCCACGTCATGAAAATGAGCTTCAAGAAGGGGAACAAATGAAGGGGGCGCGCTTGGCTCCAGGTCGGGGGCGCGCATTTAGGAAGCCCTGACTATACAGTTTTTTTGGTGTTTTTTTTTTTTTTTTGCCTTGCCATTTTTTTTTTCTTTTTTTTTTTTTAAAGAGAGAAGGAGGGGGCTGGTTGGCGGAGAGAAAGGGAAGTGGGAAACGAGCAGATGGGGGAGGAAAAAGCCTAAGAAGAATCAGAGAGGAAAAAGCCGCTGGGATGGGGCAGAATTTGCACACCCCCCCTAAAAAAAAAAAAAAAAAAAAAAAAAAAAAAAAAGGAAAAGAAAGAAAGAAAGCCTAAGTGTGGAGGAAATGAAAGCTGCTCTGACTGCGAGTGCCAGCGGAGGGCTGCAGCGGGGAGCAGCCCAGGGGTCCCGCTCCGGTCGCCCCGCTTTCCCCGCCGCCAGCGCAACCTCCTCTCGGTCCCGCTGCCTTTCCCTCCGTCCCGGGGCCGCTCCCGCCCCGCAGCCTCGCCACGATCCAGCCGCTTCCCGCAAAGCCAAACCCCTCGGGGGAGAGACCCGGCACCTCCTGCATCCTGCCGCCCGGCGCGGGGTGTGCGCGGGGGCGGAGGGGCCGCGCCCGCGGAGGACGGAGCGGTGCCCGCCCGGCCCGGGAGCCGCCGGCAGGTAACGGGGCTGCGCGGGGCGCGGAGGGGCCGCGCAGAGGGCGCGGAGGGAGCTTCGCGCGGGTTCTCCCGCGGGCGAAAGTTGGTGGGTGAGATGCGCCGGGAGAGGGATGGGGGTCACGGCCGGGGGGCTGCGGGTGCCCCCTGGGTCGCACCCAGGCGGGAGGGAAGGGCTGCGGGCAGGGCAGGAGGTGACCCCCGCGATGCTCCGCGCGTTCCCGCTCTCCGCACCCGCGCACACCCTTGCGCACCCCGGCACACGCACACGGCATCCCCGCCCATCCCCGCGCACACATCTGCGCGCATCTCCGCGCACAGCGGGAGCCGCGGAACTCCCGGGGCATCCCGCACCCCTTGCCATTCTCGGTTGTCGCCTTGAACCCGAATTCCCCTCCCGCACCGCGGGGTGACCCGGCCGGGAGGAGACTTAACTGGAACAGCGGCTCGGTAGCAAAAAGTTGAGGGGCAAAGCTGCGGGTGCGGGCGGGAGGACCCGGGGGACCCGCGGGGTTCCGCCGCCCCGGGGCCGCTCTGCGCGGGCAGGGGCGCAGCGTCCGCGCCCGCGGACACGAACCATTTTCCCCCGGCTCCAGAGCTCTCCTGCACCGGTGCAATATGGACGCACCGCTCCCTCCTAATTAAATTGCTGCATCATTCATTTTCTGACGCGGGAGCGACATGGGGGACCGGCAGGCGCCGTGCACCGACACCCCCCCTTTAGGGATGGGGGGGGGAGGCGGAGAGAAAGGGCGAGAGGGGAAATCACAACAGTTTGTTCTTGTAACAAGCTCGCACAGCGGTTTTGCAGCCACTCAGAAAAACGACCTCTGGGCGCTCCCCGCCGCACCCCGCTGTGTTTTGGGGGGCAGACCCCCTTCCCCATGGGTGCTGGTGGTGGGGCAGGGCTGGAGTACAGGGCAGGGAGCCCCGACCTTGCAACTTTCCCAAATGCCGCTGAATATGGCTCGTTATCCTTGCCAGGGGCTCCTGCCGTCGGGTTGTGCAGAGGGGCTGGAAGAGGGGAGGGTGAGGAGGGGGTTGGGAATAGGGGGATGCCCCTGGAATGCAGATCAGCGAGCGCTGCGGGGCTCTGCGGGGAGGGACGGACACCCCGCCGGGTCCCCCGCCCGCAGGCAGGGCCGACCCCGGGCCCATGGACACCCCTCTGCCGGCTGTGGCACGGGGCAGCCCCGCGGGATGCCCCAGGGGAGGAGAGGAATCACCCCGCACCTCCCGCTCCATCCTTTCCGTCCCCGCAGTTTCCCAGAGGGGTGAGGAGTCTCGGCTGGCCGCAGCGGAGGCTCTCACAGGGTTTGTCCAGGCCGTGTCCTCTTGTCCCCCCAGCCAGGAGACAGGAGTCACCGCGGGCCATGCCCTGCATCTCCCTCCAGCCACAGCAGCTCACGGCCCTTCTGTCCCTGCTCCACACACCCTGCTGAGAACACGACCGGTGTGAGTGAGACTGGCAGGAGCTCCAGCGAAGGCTACAGCTGATGTAACCAAGATTAGGACGTCACTCGGTTATTAATGATAATTATTATTATTGGCAAGCGAGCTATTTCCTTGCAAAACCCCATCCTGGAGCTGTGGAGTCGGCGGAGATGCATCTCAGCAGGGTGGGAGCTGGCAGGTGCCCTTCGGCTGCCTCTTCCCAGCCTCAGTTGTCATGACTGAAATGCACCTTTCCCCCCTGATAGCCTTGTGAAAATAAGGGGGAGAGAGAGACACAACTTGGAAAAGGATACTTGAACTGTCATTGTACCTTTCTGAGATATCCTCACAGCGTTCCCTTTCCACTGGAGGCGAACGTTCCCCCCACTGCAGTCATTGCACAGCAGGCATTCAATGCTCCAGTCAGCCTGCAGTGTGAACCAGCCCCTTCCCTCTCCAACACAAGTGGCAATGCTGGAGAGAAAGAGGGAGTTTTCTTCCAAAGCTCGCTCTGCCTGCCCAGAAAGAAATATCCCGAGCTTTAATAGTCTCTGTGTCTCCAGCAATCTATAGCAAGGGCAAAAGCAATAAATAGTGCAAGGGCAAGGGAAACTCTCTTGTAATTATTACAGATGGGAGCTGCTTCCCAGCTCTCTCTGTTTTGTCAGAGCTAGGGAATAGTTTAGAGGTTCTGGATTCGAGTGTGGAAAGGGTTTGGACACAGCTCCAGCTGCATCCCTGCCTAAAAGCCCCGGCACAGCCAGCTCCTGCTGGGTACTCACCCCCAGCTCCCTGGGGAGGGAAGTCGCCTCCAGCTGCCAATTATTGGGACAGGAGAACATGTGGGAACCCGAGTGTGGGAGGGGGAGCAGAGAGGCACGAGCAGGGCTGGGATGTGATTAATCCGTGACGCAAAACCCACATGCGCTGGGTTGGCAGAGCTGCCAGTCCGTGCTCCGGGGAGAGATGCCCCTGTGCCCCTGCCGGGGTGCAGGGCACAGCCCACGGCTCAGACAGAGCTTCCCAGGGGGCATCCTGCCTTTGTGGGCCCCAGCAGAGTAAATCCTGGAATTAGGAGGGAAGGCCAGAGCTGGGCTGTGGGAAATACAGAGCTGGAACTCTCCAGCACACAGGGAGCGGTCCTGGGCAGAAACACTCCCAGCTGCAGAGGCTGCACGAGGCAGACACCTCATCGTGCCATCAGTCTGGGCTGGGCTCAAAGCTGAGCTTAAAATTCCTTCGCTGGTCTGCTGACCCCTTTACTTGTCTCCCAGAGATTTCTGTTTGTCTGGTGTCTTCAGATAAATGTATTCAATATTGAGGTTCCCCTCCCGCCACTTTTTTTAGGGAATCTCTCAAACAGTCTTGGGTTTGTATATTATAAATTATTCATGAGGAAATTTTAGCATTTTTGAGTATGTTGATAGAGGAAAATCAGAATAGAGAGTCTTCTCTGAGTACCAGTTAGTGAAGCAGCTTATGAGCTTCACTTTTCTTTTTCTCTCTCTGTTCCTTAATTCATTTATCAGACACAGACAGAGAAATAAAACCATCAGATGGAATTTACCTATAGTTCTTCTTTGGAAGAAAATACTTCTGTTAAATCTATATCATATCATCCCAGTGGTATTTTAGGGACCATGACCTCTCTTGCTGTTCAGCCTCCCTTCCAGGGGACCCGAATTGGATGCAGAGGGTTGTCCTGTCTCCCTCAAGTCATTGCAGAGGTCTCACTGGTTGCTGGAGGGTTGTGTTTGGACTGTGAGAGCTCAGGCCAAGGCTCAGGTGCCCCTGAGGTGCCTTCAGGTGTTTCTGACTGCTCCTTTGCTCCATGCCCTCCCAGTATCTGACACACCATACATAAGCACAAGCACAGATTATTTGGACTGCTTAAGCATTGGTGAATACACGTGAAATGGAGGAAATGTAAGACTTTTAAACTGTGCTTTTCCAGCTGGATTCCTTCTGGCTGGAGAATCTTCTTATGTCAAACCCATGCTCCTCTCCACAATTTTTCTCAGTCACTTCATTATCAGTTATTTATTAACCTATGGAATAGCTGCCGATTTTTTCCCAGTCTAGCTGATTTTGATGTGCTATTTTTAGATGAAGTTAAGAAATAACAATGCACCCAATTATATTGGCACGGACTATTTCTAATATAAAAATGTCCTCAGCTACTTTAAACTCAATGGGACTCTGGAGCTGTGCAGAAAGCCCAGCCATGCCCTCAGTAACAAGTTATGTGTAATTGGTTTCCACTCATGGGATTTTTTTTTTTTTAAGCAGAGAAATTTTGCCCAGTATTTGATGATATGTGTAAATATTAAAAGGAAAGGAGGGAAGAACTAATAGATAGTATTAAAATAGAACAGCAAATACCAGCAAATTTTGAGTGAGGCAGTTTTAATGGGCTGTTATTAGAAATAAAAGAGAAAAGGAGGCAAAATAAAAGGGAGTTTTAATAGGACAAAATTGACAGTTCTGTTATCCTCACTGATTCCTGACATTTCAAGATCAGTTTTTTATCTAATGTTTCAACAGCTTTGGATATTTTCTCCCAGTAAATCAGACTCAGCTATAGCTTTTTTCCCACCTCAGACACGTAAGCCCACAATTTGTTTCTGAATGTGCTGATATTTATTGTACCAAGTGTCAAAAATCCCCACACTCCTCTTATGTACGAGCTCCTCTTTGGCCTTTTTTGGGATGCTGTACAGCAGTGGCTGGGCATGCACAGCCTCCCCTGACAGCAGCTGGGATTTCAGGTGTGGATCAAAGGTAGAGTGATGCTCTCAGCGTGATCTCCTCCCTCCAAACTGGAGCTATGACCCATCCTGCAGCACTGCGAGGGGCTTCTTCAGCTCTTCACACGGGCAGTTCTGCAGCCCTACAGCCACGTCCTGGAATCATGGAATCATTTAGATTGGAAAAGACCTTTGAGAACATCCAGTCCCACTGCCAGGTTCACCCCTAAACCATGTCCCTAACATTGATACCTTTTTTGAACAGCTCCTGGGATGGGGATTCCACCACTTCCCTGAACAGCCCCTTCCAGTGCTGGACAACCTTTTCACTGAAGACATTTTCCATGATATCCAAACCTCCCTTGGCACAGCTTGATGCTGTTTCTTCTTGTTCTACTGCTTGTTACCTGGGAGAAGGGTCCAATCTCCAATCTCCACGTGTCTACAACCTCCTTTCCTCTTTATCACAACCTACTGCACCTTTTTTAAGCTTTTTTATTCAGTCCAGAGACTTGTTTTCACCTGGTAGCACAACTGCAGGTTTTGATGCCCTAAACAAGGATGAACACGAAGCACACAAAGGAAGAGCATGGACTTTGAACTGTGTTTTCTGAATCTCTCTATCGCAGACCTTCAGATGGCAATTGCTTGGTTCCCATCAGAAAAATCTTAGACAATGCAAAAAAACAGTGCTGGAATTCTCTTAGCTGAAACACTTGTGGAATAACCATTGTGGTTTATTTTTTACACCCACACACTCTACATCTAAACATTTTCTGTTGTAATTTCCACTTTGGTTTTCTTTTCACCTTGTGTGCTAATC